CTGGGCTAATTAAAGCAGAACGCTCCTATTTCCAGCAGTGACTGTGTCAAAGTAAAGCCCCTCGTGATTGGACGGCCGTACGCGAGCCGAGGTTGCCGGTTGGCCTCCCGTCAGCCGTCTCTGAGTGACCCAGAGTGAGTGGCGCGTTCCCGGAGAGCTGCCCTCCAGTCGTCCATATGAGCTGCACCCGGCACGGGGCTGGTTTTTTGAAGAAGAGCACCTCTGACAGATTGTCTCGGCGCACAGCGCCGGACTTCTAAATATGGCAACAGCCGGTAGCAACAGCCGGTGTTGACCTATGATCAGTCATGCGGAAGGAGGGAAGAGTTGATGGAGGAAGGCCTCCACATGCAGAGTGGATGTGTTCTGACTGTTGTTCTGTTCACGAGGAAGAGCCATGCCAGCGCTCAGGGACTTATGCTGACTCGTAGTATTTAGATAGCTACGTTGTAAGCCTTAGTATTAAACTGCTACATGTGTAGATATGCACATTAAGAGCAGGCAGACCTTTAAGCCTACCAAAGAATGCATGTTTGTTTTATATGGTGCAGAACAGCTATTGGAGAGGATCCCTATAGGATTAGCTTAAAGAGCCTGTTTTTCACAGCACTTTAAAGCCAATCCTACCCCTGACAACAGTATTCTTACCATATACTGATTTATTCAGACGCAAAGACTTCTAACATACAAGTAATAGGAGATGGATAAATATTTAAAATTGAAATGGGTGGGAGGCCATTCCTTTCCACTTTTCTGCCCTCACAATGTTGACTGTACTGATTTGGGAATCTAGTTGTTTTCAACACTCCCTGCCTAAAAGCATCTTTACTTCCACTCACAGTGATACCATCAGCAATGTTTACGACAGGTTTTTTTTAGCTTTAGCATCAGTTTCTGGCAACTAAAGTTGGGCTTGTGACGTTGAAGATATTTCATCACATTGCAGTGGTGGATATGCACTTTGGAGGTGTTTCAGCCCAGATTTTTGGTCCTCTTGTCCGTTGGGAAGCATTTAAAGCATTTATTGTGTGATGGGGCCATGAAGAATGGTCTGACGCGTGTCGTATGGAGATCTGTGTTTTGTCATGTCTCCTCAAACGTCCTCTCTCAAAGACAGCAGGGGTGAGGGAGAGCAGAAAATGCACAGTTGGCATTGTTGGCATGGATTACTGTCATAAACCTTTCGATCACAAAATCCAGGAGTAAACATTATCCACACAGGCGATGCTCCCCTTGTCTCCGGTGCAGCATCACATTCACAGGGGCCGTTTTTGATGGATGTCTGAATCCTAAATAATTTGATTTGTTGGCAATTATGCTGTGACAGTCGCCATTTGATTGTATTTCAGCTTTAATCTGTAATGCGTTCGTCCTGTCAGCTTCCACAACATTTCCCCCTACAATACATCTTTATCAGCTTTTTAAATTGAATAAGAGGCAGGCATCCTTTCATGTCCATCTCACTGGTATTGTTTCGTCATGACATCATGGCCAGCTTTGAAGGAGATAATTATTAACTGAATGTGGGACGCAGTGGCAGGGAGGGAAAAAGGTAATTACCATTTCAATAAGAGGGAAATGGATTCTCTGTGTGCTCCTTATAAACCTTAATAGAGAATATAACAGAATGAGTATGCGTTTTCCTCTTATTTGCATGCTTATGTCTCCTTTTTTGAGCACATCCTGCATTTTTTTGTTTACTATGCCAACATCCACTACTAACAGTCCTACTGACATCATGTGGGATAGACTTTTTGTTTCCAGCGAGTTTTCAGTTGGATTATTCAGTCATTATTCTGTTATTACACCCTTCTTATTCGCCCACAAAAGTGTCTCCGCACAATAGTGATTTCAAGATTTCTCCACACTGGCCTGAGTGGTAGGTGAGCAACTCACCGACAGCTGCTAAATGATGTCATTAGCTTCCTTTTAGGTAAATGGAGCAGGGACTGCGGCCGATTGGTCGTCGAGGAGGGGATGGCCATTTGTTACGGCTGATGCGGTTTCAATGATGGATGGTGGGACAACTCTGGAGAAAGCACTGAAAAGGGGCAAAAGCAGTGGACAACTTAGTGGCCAGCTCTTTGTTACATGTTGATGGTTCCTGGGGTAACATCTGATTACTATAACTGACACATGGTCCTTCTCCAAAGAGCTCAAAGAAAGAATAATAGCTAGAAAATGTCTGACAGAGAGACAGAACTAAAGGTTAAAAGAATAAAAAATGACCAATCTGAATAGGAAGAAGAGGATCTGATGAGTAGTTTGTACTCGGATCATGTCGACTGTTTGCAGATGGTGCTGAAAATATCCTGAGCATGAACTGAAAAGTTTCTCACAGAGCTACTGACGTCATCTCACCTCTGTCAAGGTCCTCTCAGCGAACAGAGGATGAAGATAAAGTATTCATAAAGCCCCCCCGACAGCCCCACCGTGTTAAGAAAGGACCATGTGTTCATATTAAATGTGATGAATATCCGCAGTGTTAATTAGCCAGAGAGCAGACACATGGGCCTACATGCAGAATTGTTTTCCTGCCGGAGACATTACGGCAAACAAGGCGTATTAATGAACATTCTCCGGGGACGGCTCTGCTGAGGGCTCCGGGGCTGGATGGCAGCTGCTCCCCAGAGATCAGGATTAGGTTAAAAAAGCAGGCTGCCGATGACAATGGAGACAGGCCTCAGAAATAGATGGCGTTTCATGTTTGCCTTGCTTCTCTTTCAAATTTTTGAAGTGATTTTTTGTAGTGCTAGCTTTCTTCCCAGTCTGCGTTTTGCTATGTTTTTCATCCAAAATCTTCACATTTTGGATTTGGCGTTTAATTTTCTTCATCTTAAAATAGTTTTTTAAGTAGATAATATTTCATTTACTGTTTGTAATCATAATAGGGAAATGATTGTCTCCATTACAGTGGATGTGTGTTCATTTCTGGTGGGCTAACTCATGTAGTTGTGACTAAGGACACTGTTTAAGGAGTGATGACTCTCTTGTTGAATGATGGCAAGCGATGTTTGAACAGAAACTCTATATTCCTGGCCTAGTTTTGGTTTCTTGATTTTATGACTACATAGACCAACATATATCCCTTTAGGTCCTCAAAGGATTTCTTCACACTCTCCCAAAAACAAGTATTGACTATATGGGAGGGAACTATCATTCCCTTTAGGATCTATTTAAAAGGTCATTTAATTCTAGCTGGGCATTTGGGAGCAATTTCCTCCTCAGATCAGCTCTCATATAAAGTGTTCGGCATTAAAAAGCCAGTTATTTGTTTATAGCCATTTACCAATTTCTTTTGAGCTATATTGAAATGTTAATAGCCGGGTCACAGGGGCTTTATCATAGCCGACAACACAGTTTAGATTTTTTACATAGCCAGGATCTAATCTTATCTTTCATGTACTCTGTCAAAGGGGGTTTTATGTCAGTGCTTTTCAAGTCATTTTGCATCATCTTCAGTTTGTGAAATACTAAAGTATTGCAAGTTTAACTTTGAGGACTGAGAATAGTAAATAAATCAAGTTATGACTCAACACGTCCTAATTCTGACTGTCTAATTCTTCTGTTTTACATACATCTTGTAATAAATGTAACAAGAAACGAGGAGTTTCAGTGCTTTTCTTCTTGTTGGGTTTATATTTTTGGAGACATTCTGTGAACCATCAAAGAGGAAAAACACTGAGATTACTGCTTCCTAACCTAATTGCTCTTCAAAAAATAATCCCTGGATATGATGTTGTAATCTAGAATAAAAATGACTCATTTGTGGGTGTGTGCTGAAAGCTTCATAGCAGCAAATTACAGTCCACACCAAATTTGGAACAAGAAAATGGCTTTAAATTTATTTTTTTCACACTCTAAAATCTTCTGTTCTTATGTTTTCATGCCTGGTGAAGTGTGACTGGCAAGAGTCCAGAGGTCAGACACTTGATGAGTAATCGCCTTGCAGTAAAAACAAACGGCAAAAACAATATTACATAACATCATGTTTAGGATCTTGGCTGGGTTGAAGTGTTGTTTAGGTTGAAAACCCTAACGAAAAAGGAGGGGAAATGGTATAATATCCATAGTATAAGAATGTATATTGTGCTGAGTGCCTGCAGAGGCAGAGCACATGGGTATTCTTGGGCATTTGATCAAACCAAGAGAACCACAGCTGCCATCACAGTAAGTGGTACATTTCTGCTTGGCCAGAGAAGCTTTAAATTGATTTTTACAGCCGGATATTATATTTAGTTTCTCGGCTGAATTTATGATCTTACAATCCGCTAGTGGAAACCATCGTTTTAGGTGTTTGTTTTTTTCCGTACATTAACGGTAATGGTTCCTTTTAGTCAGTCCCCTTCTGTTTCCTACCTGTCTTCATTAAAACAAGAACATATCTTTGGGTTATATTCATTTTCAAGTTGTAATTATACAGACCTCGGATCACTTGTCAGAGTGCTGAGCCAAATGGAAGGAGCTGTCACTGAATATTTCATCTCAGGACTCTTTCTCTGGAGGCTTGAGTGCATGTACAGGGAGATGAAAGGGCTATATAAAAAAAGTCACCCTTTAATAACTGTTAAAGTCAGCCTGGTCCGAACATTAAGTAGTTCAAATAAGGATTTACTGCCTCTGCATATCGGAAGATTGAAAGATGCTCTTTTCAGGTTGTAGGTTTTCCTAAATGACACATTTTGGCGACATTTAAGTACAAAGTGCTGTGTCCTGACTTTTTTTTTTTTATGCTTTAAACTAATTGATCTAGAGACACTGCTGGGATTTGACCAGACATCTCTGCATTCCTGTGCTTGGTTCTTTTCCTTTCTTTAAAACAGACTGGATGACGGGCTCGAGTTGTAAAGGGGGGCGAAAAAAACCATTGTCGATCTTTTTGAGAATGTTTTCAAGCTCTGCTGAACCCAAACAGCCCCAAAGTAGATCGTACTTCCTGTGTACGACCCAGAGGAGCACACACAGTCACGTGACCTCTGCTCTGCTCTGATTGGCAGGTAATGCAGGTGGTGAGGGAGCAGATCATGCGAGCGCTCACTTTCAAGCCTAATTCTCTGGACCAGTTCAAAAGTCGCCTGCAGAACCTGAGCTACACGGAGATCCTGAAGATACGCCAGTCTGAGAGAATGAATCAAGACGACTTCCAGTCCCGCCCCATCCTGTGAGTCATGTGACACTTTCAAACACTTTCATTCCAGGGTTATAATGTTTATTTATTTTTTGAAAGGTAAGGTGGCAATTAAATCCTCCACTTCATATAAAATGTGTATGGTGAAAATATTCTAAAGAAAAATCCACTAAAGTGAATCTCTGAAAAGAGCTACGGTGCTTTATCTACCTGGTGTTGCTTCTCTTTTCTCATTTCTCAAGATGAACGCAGTGCATTTGTCACCCATGTGACAGCATCTTGATTAAGGAAGACCGCACCTGCTTTCCTCTTGTGATTAATTTATGCATTAAATTTAAAAAGTCTGCAAATGGCATTCCCGGTGAATGCTCCATTAAGATCCCTCTAGCTCATTACGCTCGGGGAGCTAGTTGATCATGAATGCAGGTTCTATAATGGAGAACATTGTTTTCTCCTGCCTGTTATTAATGGAGTAGGTATCACTATTGACAAATCACTGCACACAGCAAGCTTGTTTCTTTGAACAGCAATCAATATTGAGCTAAGGGCTTATTAGAATCAATATTGGAGGGATGCAGAGTAAACCTTTGGCCGTCAGTTAATCATAGTGGAGAAAGTGCAATTAAAGCCGAGAATGATGTAGAAAAAGGGACCATAAACACAGAGGTGGAAAAAGGCCCTTTTTTAAAGTTGTATTTATCTCATTGACGCGCAGAGTTTTGTTCAATTACATGGTGTGTCTTCAATTATGTTAAAAATAAGGTGAACGTTCACATCCAATTACTGGCTGTTTGGTGATTGATTTTAAGCAAATGAAAGAACTTGTTTTAAAATGTTCTCACGGAGCACCGGCCTGTCCTCTGTAGTTTGAAGCAATGTTCCTGGAATCAATACAGTGCAATCATGAGTTGTAAACATAATGAGCTGAGCATGCCAGACTACAGATCCAGAAAAGTGGTGAACTACAACAACAAGCTCCCATTAGCTCTCAGTTATTGCAGAGACAGACTAAAGTCATCATAATAAATATGGCTTTTGTGCTCTGTCTGATTGAGGGGATTATTTTCTATCTGTTAACTCTTGTGTGTAGAATCTAGAGACTTTTTTTCTGATCATTTTTCTAGTTCATGTTTTGCAAAGTTGCTCACAAAAATAAAAGGACTAAAGATTATAAATCATAAATTAGATATTTCCCAATACAGCTCCATCATAACGATGATCCACTTCTGCTCTCATCCACGAGTCTGAGAAATTATTTGTTTTTGTATTTTCAAATGATGATGTTATTAGTTAATATTTAATAAACTAAGCTAATTGCATTTACTGGGAATCAAACCTATAACAGCTAAATATATCTTTTCTTTTTGTGTTCAGCAAAAAAATACGACATCACAATTCACCGGAATTCACATAAAACCTGAAACTCTTTTGAACAATGTTTGTGGAAAGAATTGACAGAATAAGTAGGAAATGAGTTCAGCAGTACTCGTGGGGAGTAGTTGCCTCTCAGGCAGATAATCTGCATAATTCATGCTGACCAGTGCTCTGTGCGTTCACATCACACGTACATGGAGATGTATGAATAAATGAGAGCGACATGAGCACAGGCAGCATTCATTTGCACTGACCGGCCTTATGGGAGGCTTTATGGTCCAGTTCTGGTTATGAACACATGTAGAATTATATCAGTATCAAGTGTCTTATGTTCTCTCCAGACAGTCCTAATCTATAATAATTGTATCACTGCAACTACATGATGAATTTGCTTATTTTCCTTCTAGTGTCTTAAGTCTGTGGAGCTCTCTGTTGCCACTGTGGAGGATGTGGACAACCGTGATTTTGGAAAAAAAACTCCCGAACCAGTGATGTGTTTGTGTTGATCTGCAGGGAGCTGAGGGAAAAGATCCAGCCGGAGATCATGGAGCTGATCAAACAGCAGAGGCTCAACAGGCTGTGTGAGGGGACCTGCTTCAGGAAAATCAGCAGTCGCAGGAGGCAAGGTGAGATGAGCGGCGTTCCCTCACTCAGACGCGTTTCACAGCCTTTCCAAATCCGGCTGAGACTCCGGAGACCACAGGCGCTGAAATCCACTCTCCGGGCGCATGGACCTCTCCTCTGTTTTTCTGCCCTGTCTCCCTGTAGCGTCCCCGGCTAATCGATGGTCGGACTCTTTAACTGATGGTTCATATCCTTTTATTCTAATGGTATTATACGAACTCACCGTAAGAGCTTAAAGAAATTGAAAAATAAAAAATACAATTACATTCCAATAAACAGTCCTTTAAACTTTACAGACAAACTACCGTGTTATCTCAGATAAAAATAGATCGGAAGAATATTAACAATCGAAACCGCAAACATACTTTACTTATTTAAAATGTTAATAAAACTTAAAACCGGACACAATATAATACAAAAAACAATACAAACCTTGTGCCCTTTTAGCCAGGAGCTAATACTTTTAAGTACCCTTTTTGACACCTTAATATGGCGACCGTTTGTTTTCTAACGATTTTTCAATGTTCCTCGACAGTCCTGAGGTCTGCCGAGAGCCCTTCAAAATAAAACGCTTTCTTCAAACATAAAGAAATATTAATCTAACTTCGTAAATTCACAACACAAATTACACAAGAAATAAGAACGATAACAAATTAGATTTCATTAAAGGTAATCTACACTCCCCGTGTTTGGTCTTTGTCATCGCTGACTCAGTCCCTTTTCTTTAGGACAACCCCACAGCACAGATATTTCATCAGCAGGAATCTTTCATGCTCTGGACTTCTGAAAAATCTGCTGCCATAATCCCCCCCCCCCACAAGTTTTCTGGCTCCATGAACCTTTTAAACAGTCATGTAGTGACACACACCCTTTCTGAAGGCACAAAGGGAGGTAGTGTGTGTGTGTGTGTGTGTGTGTCTGTCAGGAAGTCCACACTCTCATTCTTTTTGCTCCTGCCTACTCACACGTTCATAGCATACAAAGAAATACAGTCAAAGACAAAGCCACAAACTATATTTCTACACATATTCCAAGGGAAATTATACCAAATGCTTCAGTAAAGACGTGAGAAGTGGAGAAAATTGCTCTGAGGTGAGCTGATAATGGCAAAGCCGAGTTTTACATCCTGCATTGTGACCCAACTCCCGCAGCCTCTTTTTTAATATTTTATCATCTAATATGTTACATGTATTAATGATATTCTGAGTCTGGAACACAGCAGAGCGAATAGAGGAAAGAATACAATTTTCAAATCCAGCAGTCTGTAAGACTGGAGAATATTTGTGTCGCCTTGACTAATATCGTATTTCACACATGCTCCCATAAAAGGGAAATCAAGCAAGGAGCAGTGGAATGGGATAAGAGGTTCAGCAGTTACACTATTGAGCCTGCATAATGTCAAAAAGAATTTAATCTGCTCCTGACCCGATCCCTTTACTCTTCAGTTCCTCTCTGGTGCTCTCTCCATCACTCCACCCCGAATCCCATCAGCCACACAAAGCTTATCTACTCTCTGTTTAAGAAAATCTTGCTTAAATCTTGTAAAATTGTACTAAAAGCAAGGACATTAGTACTTAATAACCAAAAATAAAGTCCATATCAATTTAACGACATTTGAAGAGTAGATAATAGGTTATTCACTGGATGATTTTGGAAGCATGGTATCTTTATGCTTATATCTTAAAATATAAAATAAAATAATATAAAATAATAAAAATATATATAAACATAAAATAATTGTAATGACTTGGTTTTGATTTGCATTTCCAATTTTTTTTTCTATGTTTTGGACATTTTTCAACATCTGCATGAAACATGTAGAGTTTTTTTTTAATAGTTATCTTTTTAAGATATTTTATGGTTGATAGGAACACATTTCAAAGGAGGAAACATTTGTTAAATTATTTGTTAGATTAGGATACCTTGTCAAACTAAGTGGTTGCAGTTTTTTTTTGCATTCTTCTTGTATACCTTGGTTAATAAAGGCTCTCTTTATCTGGTGTTTCTGTAAGGACTTGAAGCTTATTGAATGACAGCAAAAAATCTTAAATATCTTGTTATTTTCAGTGTACATGATTCTGCTCAATAATGTTTTTGTTTTTTTAAGAGAGACCAACTGTCTGTTTTGTTGCCCATCATGATCCCTTCCTCATGGAGAGCCTCATGGCCCATCTGTGGGTTTTCCTCAAAGCTGTTTTTTTGTTTTTTGTCAGAGATTCTTTCTATTTTCTCTCCTGCTGATTACTCGCACAAATCCATTTCCATATGATGCCTATTCCCCAGCCACTCTCGATTTCAGAAGGCTTCTAAATCTGCCTCTAATTATTCTTCTGGTTTCTTGTCTTTTCTTCCAGATAAGTTCTGGTATTGCCGTCTGTCTCCGAATCATAAAGTCCTGCACTATGGAGATCTGGAAGAGAGCCCACAGGGCGAGGTGCCCCACGACTCTTTACAGGACAAACGTGAGTCAAAATATGATTTATAGCCAGCATTGTTTACTCAAATTAGCATTTTCTTTTTTTTTTCTTCTTATTGAATACAACCAGGAATGCATAGACCAAATGGCTACAATTAATTGGAGAAAATGTAGGTTTTTGCTATTGTATTAGACCTCTGTAAAGTTGGGAAATTATAAATACTAAACTAAACTTAAGATTCTTGTGGGGGGAGACATTTTTATCAGCGTTGCTCAAGAATTTGTTGTTGTTATTGTCTTAAATTCCCATCTCCCCTCACTGCAGTGCCCGTGGCTGATATCAAGGCTGTTATCACCGGCAAAGACTGTCCTCACATGAAGGAAAAGGGAGCCCTGAAGCAAAACAAGGTGTGTGTGTGTGTGTGTGTGTGTGTGTACGCGTGCATGTGTGTGTGTGCGTGGGTGGGTGGGTGTGTGTGTCTGTGAATAGCCAAGAGAACGTGCCTTTGTAAGTGTTGGAGTTGCATAACACGATGTCAGTTACATAAAATTTTGTTTTGGGAAATGACAAAATAACTCGAATCTCGCGGGGAGATGGACGCATTCAAAAGCGGCGTTTGGGTCGAAACGAATGACTTGAATAGTCCTTCACAAAGCCACGAGAGCCACGCTGACGTCGTTCCTCTGCCGTTTCCAGCGTGACAGTAAAACACGAGCGTGCACTCTGCTCCACTGTGACCGGGAGAAAAGAGCCCCTCCTGTCTGTGTGAGACCCATCCTCTGAAAAATGGGATCTTTGATAAATAGCCTTGAAGACAAAGGAGTTCACCCCCTCCCTTCTTCCCTGCTTTATTACCTTGTCAATAAGCACAGGTCTAGGAGAATGACCCCAGCCACACGAATGAGAACATGGGCATATTTCAATAGTCGGTGTTACGAGCCAAAGTCACCTCTGAAAGCTTCAGAACGGAGCCGACATGTTTAGTATTTGTGGGACGTGGAGGCTGAGGTAAAAAGGCTGACGGTGCTTTCGCCATATTTCCCACACGTGTCACACATTTAGGGGATTATTCATTCTGGCATTTCAAAACGGATCAGGCGAATGGGAGGGGCCGGACAACATCGCAGTTTTATTAGTGAGAAAAATGCTCTCCATCTAAAAGGCAGATGCAGGAAAATTAAAGAGGAAATTAAATTAAACAGTGCTTGACTTAGATTTCTGACATGGCAATGCAAACAGTGAGATGCATTTAATTATTTCACTATTTCACTATTTCATTATTATTTAATGAAAAGGCAGCAACTTCTAACCGCCATCTTTTCTTTTTCTTTTACACTAAATAAAAGCCAGAGTTGCCTCTCACATCATAAACTTGAAGATTAGCCGATGCACTGTGGAGATTATTATGTTTGATTGCTGCGTATTATCCTTTCAACGACACTTTTATTGCAATCAACTATGCTCACTGAATGATTTCGGTCCACTCACCACAGTCACTAAGAAATATCTCATTATCTGTCGTCTTGACAGATGAAGACATTAGTCAGTATCTTCAGGAATGAATGGAAATATCCTGCACTAGCAGTTGTAAACTGACAGTCACTTTAGGCTCAGCTGTAAAAAGGTTAGCCCACTAAATGAAGATGGTATTTAGACAGCAGCTTGTCATTGTGAGAATTTTGGCATTAGCATTAATAGCGTTACAGAGCATTCTTTCTCAATCTTACAACATTTTGCTCCTTCTCAGATTATTTTGGTCGTGGATTAGGTTTTACCACTCGGCTGCTTCTTTAAACTCCCTCACGATGCAGCCTCGCTCCGACTCTATAATTATCTGCTGCCTCAGTAAAATTAGCTTCCCACGGAGTGCTAGCATAAGTTAAATTCATAGTCAGTGATCATATTCTAATACCTAAAATCATGCAATGTCACATAATCTCTCAGCCACCCAACATACGACAAATAACTTCATCTTTATATATATCTTGTCAGTATCTGGTAAACAAGGGGTTGGTAATAGGATGGTAATGAGATATGAGGACATCTGTGATGGAAATGTGACCTGTTTTCCCCTCCTTTTGCTTTCTGTGGGACACTGTCCTCCATCTCTACTTTCTTCTCCACAGGAGGTGTTGGAACTGGCCTTCTCTGTCCTGTATGAGTCAGACGAATACTTAAACTTTATTGCTCCTGACAAGCATGAGGTAAGTCAGCAAAAGTCAGCAATGTAAAGTTTGAAAGTGACTGAATGCACATTTGTGATTGTACGGAGAGACAGGTTCAAGAATTCAATGTACAGTATATCAAATGAGTATTTTTTTATTTTTTTAAATGACACTTTACTTTGACTTTTGGCCCCTAATCAATTCTGAGTTTTTAAAAAAAAAGTACTACCTGTAATCCTTTGAGTTTGGTAAATGCACGGGAAATGTTCATGTTTCTCATAGATTTTTCTCATACATAATTTAGAGTCCATAAATATCTAATGCCTTAAGGCTAGCTCACATCATTTCCTCAGTGCTTCAATCCAAAATAAGAAGTTATGCAAGCAGAAAGAAGAGAGAAGAAAAGGGACTAAGGTGCCCTTCCTCTGATTCTCCTGAGCCACCGATGGCACAAACCTCCTTCATTTTGTGCTTAGCTTCTTGTTGCCTGAGTGCTGTTTGCAGCTTCTGTTATCTATGGAAATAAGTTTTACTGAAAGACTTAGTTTGGAGATGTTAGCTCTTAGTTTGCTGCTCCTTTATTTTAATCCCCCTCCTTGTTTCCACAGTACTGTGTGTGGACAGATGGCCTCAATGCCCTCCTGGGAAAGGAGATGACGAGCGATTACACCAAATCGGACATGGACACCCTGCTTTCCATGGAGATGAAACTTCGCCTCTTGGATCTAGAGAACATCCAGATTCCCGAAGCCCCGCCCCCGATTCCCAAAGAGCCTAGTAACTATGACTTTGTATACGACTGTAACTAGACGTACGACCCCACGAGCCCGAAACCCGAAACCAACCCCGCACTTTCTGTATCCACTGGACCGATCCCCTTTTTCTTATAAACTGGAACAAGAATAAATACAAAAAAAAAACATAGAATATAAAAGAAATGAACTGTGATCGAAGAAGGGACTTATTGAACTGTTTTTTCCTCTTGCTTCTCGCTCGACGTTTATAAGAGAGAAAATAGTTCATGTTATCATCGATGGGACTTGGAAGTCATCGGATGGAGTCGAGTGTTTGATTGGCCTGTCGTTGGTTGTCCCACCTGATATTCTTCACTCCTCCTTTGTCAGACGTGTCAGAGCCTTCACTTCTTCCTCTCCTCCTCCTTATTCTTCTTGGCCTGACACCCGCTGTCATTTTGCTTCAAGATTGTTGTAGACGGTTGCTAAGAAATTTCATTTGATGTGCCCCTCTTTATTGTCCTTTATGTTTATTTTTGTTTGTTTTTTTCCTCAGGGCTTTTGTGGGGAGGGATGGCAGATGCAGGGACCAGGGGAGTTAGTTGAGTAGATCACAACCAGGGAGGAACAAAAGGATTTGGGAGGGTTTTTGTCGCCTTGCCAGAAGTATTTCTTTTCCTGTCACATTCCCTTGTACTTTCTGGCAGCTAAGTGTTTCGGAAAAGGCTGGATTCACTTTACGGACCAATTCTTCTTGAAAATAATCTCAGCTATTTACTCAGTCTTTCTTCAGATATCCTCAAGACTTTTCCAATAAATTGTTCCTTAGAAATCCAGCCAGTGTGCTAAAGTGGAAAGCCTCCCTTTCGAGTATTGATGTTATTATCCCACTGCTGCTTATTGCTTATTATACACACCTACACGGTGGCTTTGCCACTAAATCAGCGCCATTGTGAAAGCCCGTCTCAAACCCGCTCTCAGCTCTGTCTCATTTGAGTCCCTCCTGTTGTAAAGACTGCTGTGCACAACATTCCTTAGCAATATTTGAGATTTTGTTCAATTCAGTCATTTGTGAGATGATAACCGTTTAGTCATTTTAAAATCGTTAACAGCCAGGTAGTTAGCATTTGATCAAAGATGATTGATTTGTTTTTGTTGTTTTTTTTGGGCGTTTACTTGATTATATGTCTGCAAATTTGATTCTTTTTTATTTTTATTTTATTTAAACGGATCATGGTTGTTATTTCTAGTATGATTTGTATTTTCCCCCCATCATATTTAATGCCTTCTTAAGTCTTTCTTTAGGTTTTTCAAAGCCCCCAAACTGCTGTTTACATTAAAGAATGGAAAAACTGCAACAACTTTACAAAGTTCCTCACTTCATTTGTAAATCACACACATGTAGAGAATGGCAGGAGGTTTTAGGATATGGTGATTCTGATTAAAGAAAACAAAAACATTGTTTAGTTTCCACGTTTTGAGCCACTTTTGTATTTGTATCATTCACATAGACAATTGTGTAGTGTTTCTTTAAGACAGCTGTGGAGAAAGACTGATTTAACCTTTTAAGTAACTGATGCAAAATCGAACATAACCTACAGAATATAGACAAAACTTTTTTTTAAATCTGTGAATTTGAGCTGAAAAGTGCTCCCTGATCAGATGATCCCAGAACAGATTTTCAGTTTTAGAAACAGACACAATCATTAAAGTATCAAGAGCCCCAATATGTTTATTTAGCTATTTTAGCTGTTATGTTAAGTCCCTTTCAAAGTAATTATTTCCCTGACATTTTTATTGCTTACACTGAAATTCATTCTGACATAAGGCTATATTATTGACTCTTTGAAGTGGACAGAAAGTTCCCACTTCACCATTATCAATATATTAGATTGGGGCTCGAAGACCCAAAATGAGCCTTTGTTTCATACTGAAGAATTTCAATTTGTCTTTGTGTGCATTTCTATGATTTTGATGCCATGGTTTTTCCATTTTATGTCCGGCTGGGTCACAGGATATTTATTTCCTTGCACAAATGTCAAAGCTGTCCCTTACTCTTTAGCGGGTGACACCATTTTCTGCTTGGCAGCTCCATCTCGCCCCCCAGAATGGCCTCTGAGCTCCATCTTCAGGGCAGGTTTGTTCACTCATGAATGGATGCAAAGGCTTAGACGCTCACATGGAAATGTAAATTAAGCCCAATTGGCTTCATCTAAAAAATCTCAGGGACATGTACACTTTCTATTTTCTACCACCAAGTTTAGATAGTTTTCCTGAAACTGGGAAACCTGATGCTCACAAGGAGCCAAACCGGAGATATGACACAGGAAATGTGTATGTTTTTAATCTAATCTCTTCTTTTAGCCTCCTTTGTCTTTCTTTTTGTCTTTATAAACACAGCTAATCTATTCAGGACATGTTGGCACCTGGGGCAATTTGCCAAGGACGCATGTTGTGATACATTCATATATAAGATTTGTATCACCAAATTAAGTAAGCTCGTTTCTGGAACAGTCAGAATAGGCAGCATACCGTGTGTGTTTACAAACCTTTACAGCACTGATGGCGGTTTTAGAGCTAATGGCAAACCAGATGGTCCCTCAACGCATCACACAAGGCATCCACCACTTTTAAACAGTACTCTGAGTATGGTGTAGAAATATTCAAAATGAATAAGATCAAGCATCCACAGAGAGCTCTGAGTAGAGCATCGAGTCAGCTGACGTAGCTCGGCCGTCTGATTGGCTGCTTTCCCGTTGGAGGTTCCCTGAGCAGATCCATCTGTGGAGAGCCCTCCGGACACACCCCGAGCGTCCTGCTACAGCCGTGTTTCCTTTAAGGCCCGGAAGTCCTCCGGGGGAGATGGAGAGTACGATGTCT